TCAACGCTTTTTCGAAGTCGATAAAAGCACAATGTTACTTTTTCTTAATGTCTCCTCTAAGATGGCGTAAAAATATTTAAACATACTTTTTAAAACTAATGGATTTGAACAATCAAGATTAGTGTTTCTTCCTTGATCCGGTCAGTTTTATCATTCATTAAAACATAGATCAAAGAAAGCTATGTACTGAGTATTAAATCATTCACGTGCCAAATTAAGTCCAGTTCTGCTATATGAAGTCGTGCAAAATAAGTAGGTTCATTAGACTGTGAACAGAATAAAAATGTAGTTAGCAGACTGGCTTGTCCATTTATTTGTGTTATAATGTTTGCCTATAAAAACTATAAAACATAGATAGATACTTTTATAGCAAAAATGATCAGACCAGATCTACAAATAAGTCAAGTTTTGCCGAACTCGTTAGTTGACTCTAGATAAAAGTAATTCCCATTAAACGACGATTTTTTTGTTTTTACACTTTTCTATGTTTTGGGCAAAACTAAAGAAGACGAAAGACAAATTGTAATCAGAACTTCTAGACAATTAATTGAACCATGTCAATCGCTTAACAAAACGGGGGGAGGGGGCTCAACCTACAAATGTAGGTACAGACGTCCGGCTGAGGTTTTAAAAACACCCCAATTCATTTATACGAAAATCCCTACCCGTTCATATATTTCATAAGAAAATCACAACCCATTTATATATATTTCCCAGCTATCATGACATATTATTTCAATGAGAAGTTAACCACATGGAATCCGTGATTCATATTATGAGATAAAAAGATCAGAACACGGTTTTTACAGACATTTCAACAGAAGATATACATGTATGACCCAATGACATATACATTTCTACCCATTGATATATTACGTCCGTGAAATTGCACCCCATTGATATATTTGACCTTCCATTTTCGATATATTTGCTTAACCTGCGTTAATTTCTTTAAAAAAAACCAACAATGTCAATGTAGATCGTTTTACTTACAATATAGATTCACACATGTTACTTTCATTTTATTCATTAGAAAAAAACTTAGGAAATCTTGTTCTAGAAAGTAATCTAACCAAACCATGACTTACTTGGCCAAATCATGACAAATCACTGTACCAAACGCTCATCAGTTAGTATGACAACGTTACTTCCCTTGGATATAATAATAATAAAATATATAGATATAGAACCATCTTAAAATATTTCATTGTATAATATCAGAAGTCCATTACTAGGGTAGTTATGGACTTTTGATAATATTAATTTTTTAATCCATTTCAAAAATACTTAAGTTTTACAATTTTATTTCTTATTACTTCAAGTATTATAATAGATAAAAACAAGAACATTTGAAAGCCATTGTTTAATCTTTATCGACTTCGGAATTGAAAATTGCCATCGACATCAATAATACGAACCACGTCGAGATTTTCCAGAAACGAAAAAGGAAAATGTTGTTCGCTTTTCAAACTGATCGGTAAGATGTTTTCAGTTCACACAGGTCACAATTTTTATTAATTTGATACTTTTTTTTGTCTTAAAATTATCTTTGATTCTTGAGCTATCGAAGTAAGGCTTCTGCATCATAACAATTTTTATATTACAAGACGGTGGTTCTGTGATTTTCTCTGGCACGTCTTTGTCAGTGACACATGTTCTAACTTAGAAGTTTACGGACGAGTTTTCTAATTTGGGAAAACTAAACATAGATCAGCAGCAAACGGTGAAATGGGTATTAGGAATCAAATATTTGTCAGTAATTGAGGATAAAGACGAACTAAAATTTTCATATCCTTTTTTTTTTATTTCGGTAAGTTCAGTTTTCTAATAGCACTATGTTTCATTTTAAACCAATGTTGAAATAGATATAATCATCATGTCAGCAACTGCAGCTTCTAAAACAAAAACATGTTATTAAGACAAATAAATTTTAAATGCATTTTTTTAGTAACTCAATAGTTTTGCTATTATCAAAATACAATGAATTCGCGAGAGGGACACACAAAATGACAATTATTAGTGTAAAAATTGTAACAACTACATATCAGTATACAACGTGCAGGGCAATTTATTATTAGAGTACATCTAATACCGAGTTTGCTCTGTTCAAAGTGCGGACAATTTAAGATTGATCCATTGTTGGTTCATTTATATTCAGTTGCAAAAATTTCATGCATGTTCAGGACGAGAACAAATTAACAATAAATTCAACAGGTATGTTGAAGAAATTTAGACTACCACTGGAAAATGAGGGTATATTGTACAATGATATAACTTTAAACTTGCAACAGGCCACCTACGGACCCGTCAAAGAGTTATTGAAAGGGTTCTTAACGTACAAAGAGTGTAGCCCTCTCTTTACACGAGGCGTTTAACTTAACGTTCTCCATTCTGACCGGACATGTACTTATACATCCCGCACAGCTAAAAGGACGCCACTCTTTGGCAAGGGTTTGACTGCCGGTCGAAAGGCCAAAGTGAACATATTTCTATTCCCCAATCACAATTTCAGAAAGGTTTGTTATAAATCATGTTAGTATTGAAGTTCTGATTACTGAACTGAAGATACCCTTGGGACCTGATTGTTTACAAGCAGCAGTATCGACCCAGTGCTGTAAAAATTGAAAACAAAACTGTATAAATGTCATGCCTCCGAAACGTTTTTCTGGATTAACCTTCATCAGGTATGGTCAAAGCCGAATATTTGAAAGCCAAGGATGTATAACGTCCGTTCCTATACCATGCCGTATTGTACATGTCTACATACCATCAGAATATACAGTCACTAATTCCATTTCCCATAATTTGCATTTCAAAATTTGTGAAAAAAAAATCGTTAGAAATATCACCAAGCCTTGGAGTTGCACAATTTTACATTTACGTCCACACAGTATTACCTTCAAGTTGAAAAAATAAAGAAAATAACTAAATCGTGAACTTTTGGCAGGTAACAACTGATCAATATATATATAGGACATGTGGTATGATTGTCAGTTAGAGAACTTTCCACCATAGACCAAAACGACGTGGATGAAAGCAACTATAGAAAAGGTCTTCAATAAAGAGAAAAACCTATATGTTAATTTTACACAATATATCTAAAAAGTTATGTTCAACTGAGATTTTAACCCAAATCATAAAGACAAGATGTGTGTGTTGATTTATTTTGTTACTTATTTATATTTTCGTTCTTGATCAAGTAATATACATGTATAGTGGACACTTAACTTGTTGAATTAAGTACCTCGATGGACATTTTAAAATTTAATCAGGGTATTTATGATTTCGATGCACATTTGTATCAAATGTATTTTTCTATATTCGATATTCGGTTCTTCCGACGGCTGAAAACATTTGATACAAAAATTATTTCTTTTCGAATGTGATCACACCTTGTTCACGATAAACCCCCTTTTTAATATTCTTATCACAAGTGTTATGTTGCATCGTACTGAACAATATAGTTTCGTTTAAAATGACACACACCACAGGTGGAGCGTTATTGGCATCTAGCAAAGAAATCCGCTTAAACAGTGCCATGGGCCGTCTTAAAAAATGAGGTTAAAGTAGTTTACCGCTTATTAAAACTGATAAAATCTATTTTGGATACTAGTATTCACAACCAAGATTAGTGTACTGGAGCGAAATATGTACGTTTATTGCTTGGCATTCGTCACCCGCAAAAGGAATAAAAAATTTGAATGAGGTTTGAGTTTCTGCTCAGAAGCCTCGCTGTGACTATATAATAAAGTACAAAAGTAACACAGCTTTTCTGGTTGTGTGCGTGTATGGATCACGTTTTATAAATGTATAGATCATATCCGTTCTTTTGCAGTCATGTGCTATCCCAAAGTTTCTGTCTTATTCCTTCTTCTGAAACGACTAATTTTTATTCTGCATAAAGATCTGAATCCGGCTTGGTTGCAAATGAGTCAAATATTTACAAGGCCCCAAGATACGGAAAAACAAGTGAAGTTGGACAAACATGAATACAGTGGTTATCGCGGGGAAGACGAAGTGTGCCGACATAGAAAGGATGTATTGTTTACTTTTATTAAAAATATTGTATGACAAAGTGTGTCGACAGGGAAGGTAAATCCAATTTAGCACAATACAATCTGGAACAAAGTATAAGCAAGTGTTTTGCCCTGATATGAATCTATTGGAATGTTAAACTCTAATAAGAGTTTAATAAAAAGTAAAATAAAACAAATACCGAACTCCAAGGAAAATTTAAAACAGAAAGTCCCTTATTAATGACAAAATCAAAAGCTCAAACACATCAAACAAATAGAAAACAGCTGTCTCATTCCTGACTTGGCACACGCATTTCCTTATGTAGAAAATTGTAGGCTTAAATCTGGTTTTATAGCTAGCCAAACCTATCACTTGTATGACAGTAGCATAGAATTTAATTATATTGACAACAATGTGTGAGCAAAACAAATAGGTAATAGGTAAAATGTCAAAAATTGGGGTACAGCAGTCAAAATTGCAATATAATCTTAATCCTTATAAAAACAAACAACTACGGACTATTATCAGGCCGCATTGTCTGCAGGGTAATTTCATTATGACTTTCTTCGTGATTCCAATCTTATTATCACTGTTAAGCTAAGATGACAGGAAAGTAAATATATAATTGTATTGTCGATGATATTTACAAGTGTAGAAGGGATGAAAATAGTAAGGGAACGTTAAAATACAAGCCGTAGAAAAATAGACAACACTACCGACTAAAGAAAAATGATTATAAGTCGACAAAAAAACTAATATTGAGTAACACAAACCTCACCAAAAACAAAGGGCGAAAATTTATCGATCGTGATAAATGTGAGTTTGGTGTTGTCAAATGTAAATTATTCATTGACCATGCAAATTTCCTTCATTATATATTTTCAGGACTGTTTACCACTTGTGTACAAATACAGGAGGCAAAATATTTAATATTTCGCGAAGGATCAACGAATCTAAAATATGATTTCAATGATTTAGTATATTTAATAAATAATTATATCGTCTGACATACCAGTTTCAAATTTAATCATGTGATGATCGGGGCCATACAAAATATATGGGTAGTCCTTTCCAGGTATCCTGTCATACTTGCAAAATCGTGAACTTCCATCAGCTTTGTCAATCACTACAATCCAACCTTTGTCTTTAGGGCAGCTTCCATGGATATGGCTAATGTAGAAATGTCGGCCTTGAAATCTGATAATAAATTAACAAAATAAAGAAAACTGCATTATATCAGCTGTCCAATCAAGTCTATTTTGAACAAAATGAATAGTCATTTGGAAGTCTCATCCACATTGTTTACTCTTTTTTTTCTACTTTTGTTTGTCTTTATCTATATTGTATTATAAAAATAGAGAGATGTGGTGCGTCTGCAAATTGCAAAAAAAAGGGACCCCTATCCGTAAATACCAAAGAACAATGACGTGAACCATTACAGGTCGCCGTACGACCAACAACAATGAACAAAACCCATGCCGTAATGTTAGATGGATTGATTGTTGTTTGCTTTACGCCACCCAACCACAAAAAGGATATATTCCGGCAGTATAGTAAGACCAAAAAGGCGCGGGTATGACAATAAACACTTCAAATGAAAAAACTGAAGGTGTATACGAAAATCATCGAAAATCAAACAATAAAGACGGCACTTAAGGGCATCCACTGCATTACAAACTTCTGGCTTGGGAAAGACACACAAATATGGGGAGGGGGGGGGGGGGGGGGGTTTAACTTTTGCCAGCGCTCAGACTTCCTTCTAAAATGCAGCTGGGACGCTGATGTCTAAGTAGTGCATCGCGGTGATAACTAGACTGCTTACTCTTAAGGTTGTGAGTTCGAACCCTGCTTGTGGCTCCGATCTTAATTTATAAGGCTTGCCAGTTCTCCACAGTTATTGCGGGTTCCTCCATCAAAACCATCTGGCAGCAATACTATAGCCAAGATTCCTGAACGTGGCGTTAAACACCAACACACACTTAATCTACGAGTTCTGTAAATAACATCACCGTAGCAAATATTTACTCTATAGTCAAACTCACTCAACATTTTGGTTTCCGGACAATATGTCTAATACTATATTGTCATACTTTGTAAGGTAATGCCCATAAGATTGAAAAAAGACTACTTATCATTCTGAGGTCAATACGTGAAAGGTCAAGGTCACAGCACTAATTGATAGACTTAAGTTGGGACCAGCTTGTTCCGGGATATTGTTTTTTGAATTGTATGTTCAATCATCAACTCCTCCGGTAGATCGCTAACTTGCCATGTTCGGGGGCTTGTGTGTCACAATGACTCCAAGAGATATGCCAGCTGGAACATCGTTCCCTTGTAGGGTCAAATATTATAGACAGGTCAAACTGGAGAGACTAGAACATCGTACGAGTCATTAGATGTTTTAAATAAAATGGACATTCCAATCCGTAGGTCTAGGGTTGTTACACGTTTCGATGGTTGACAAGATCCTTGCGGATGAGGCAAGACTCAAGTTGGAAAAATACCCGGACAATCGAGACTTAGTCTAGTTACAATAAGCTGTTTAGGTTACTAGTACCATCTAAACGAGAGGTCGGAGGGACCCGGTCCGATTAATTGGCGAGTCATTTCGAGCCTTTCAGTTAATCCTCAACAACAATCTTTCTCAAAACAATGTTCTATTTACACACATGTATTTAAATTAAATCATTTAAATACTTAAGATATCCGAAGACGGCGATGAGTTCACGGGTCAATCAAGTGTTATGCTTTTTATTACGCTTGGTGAATACGCTTTGATTGCACGAGTATATAAGTCGTCTTGGAACATCTGGTGTTTTCAGCAGAGGACCTTAGGTGCTAATTTTCAAGGCAAACTACATATAGTTTGATATTTAGTTTCACCATGACAAGTTACAGATCAAGTTCGAATTTTGTTCGGTTTGAATGATTTTTTATTTTTGTTGTTGTAGAGTTAAGGTCCTCGGACATGGAAAATTCGGGCAAATAATCATTGTTCTGCACTTTTTTTTTTGTTAAGCTTGAAGATATTGATTTGCTATTTTTACAGATCAAGTTCGAATTTTGTTCGGTTCGGATGATTATTTTGCAGAGTAATGGTCCTGGGACTTCATGCAAATAATCAGTTTTCCAAACTTTTTTTCGTCATGCTTGTAGATATTGATTTGATATTTGTATTATAGTTTACAAGATAAGGTATAGATCAAGTAAGCATTTTATTCCAGTATGAAGAATTTTTAACCGGTAGGGGACTATGTATTGCAATGCCATACAATACTGTCAGAATGCTTGTTGTTCTTACGGTACTGACGGAAAACCAGGCACACACATATCTCCTTTTTTTATTCAAAAATACATTCAGAGCATTGCTGGCAGTGTAAAAAATGTATAAAAAATAAAATCTGGAAAATTACTCATAGAATGTAGTAACAAAAATCAATTTTCACTTTGATTAAAAAAAGAACATTACCCATTTCGCTGTTTTCTTCTCTCCTCATATATTTTTTTATAGTAGCAAAGAAATCATTCGAGACAAAAGCCAATATCTGTCTGAACTTATCCATGAAGAACTTTTCAACCCAAGGTGTAGCTGAGATTATTTGATTTCAAACAAAAAAGAAGGGAAACATTTAAATTAAACACCTATCATGTTTAAATTATAACTTCACCTTCATCTTTAACACTTATGTTGAGAGCAGGGTTGACATGTTCGTTCCTAGCCCAATTGGGTGCCTCACTTGCCAAAAGTTTGGTCATGGAACTAAACAATAACATGAAAAATTGATTAATTATTGGTTGCAAAACGTCCAGTGGCAAATATTGCATGAATGTTCAGGACGAGTTTTATTGGATACGGACAGACATTCTGCCTTGCATAAGGCCACTCATGGAAAATTAAAGTGCTTAAAATGTTTCGAAGATGGATATGAGGGAACTATATGAAGCCCTGACAATTTCAAATGAGCAAAATGTGGTGGTTCACCTTATCAAAAACAAACAATAATGTCATATCAAATTAAAAAGTAATAGAAAAAGTCGGACAGTTGGGGCAATGAAACTGTCTGAGTCGATCCAAATGAGACGGATGTTTGCTTGTCCCGAACAAGACCAGCGAGTCACTCTTCTACATATAAGTGATTTAGACCCAAAGGGAGACCCTCAAACTCTTATTAGATCATCCTCTCAGAATATTTCTGAGAAATATTCTGAGAGGAGGTGACGTTTTCAGAGTCGAGGTGAGAAAACACCTTCAGTAAGTCGGTAAATCCTAAACATCCAAGCACACCATGGTTTTATCACGAGTGGGAGTTATAAATAACCGTAACAATAACAGAAAGACTTTTTATTAAATATTCTAGTGCAGAAAGCCTTGATATTTTCCTATATCTCGTGCAAAAGCACGACGGACATGTTTAGCAGGCTCGGCGTAGTTTTTGTCTCAGGAATTACATCTCGAACCTCGATGAAAAAATATGAAACATAATAAAAGATCAAAAGAAAAAATTAAAAAGCCGCGGTAAACAAGGCACTAACTGACTAAAACCTGAAAAAGATATTGCCAACGAGCTTGTTGAAACCATTGCGAATCGTCTAACACTATAAAGATTTCAAAAAAATTAAACAGCAAAAGAAAAAAAAGTTAATTGAACTTTACATCGTAAAAAAGAGAAAATTACGATAAACTTTTTCTATTTTTTGATTGAAGAATTTAAAACCTCCTTGCCTAAGGCTCATGCTACAGCATGTTTGCCAGATAATATTCAGGATCAACTTTTAAAGTGGCCTTGGTAGTCGATATACTGTATCATTAGCCTGTCAACACTGAGGTTTTGAGTTCAAATCCTGCATGCGACAGGTGCGCTCGACTCCAATCTTAATTGACTAGGATTGTCAGTTTTCCAAACCGAAAGTACTTGGTTCTCTCCTAGCACTCCGGCTTCCTCTCCCAAAAAACTGCCCGCTTCGGAATAACAAAGTAGTACTGAAAGTGGCGTTAAACACCAATCAAACGATTAATCTATATAGAAGCTTGCAACCATAGTGTCTATTCCAAAGCTAAAAAAAAAACATCATACGGATCCTATTAATAATCAACCAATTGCTCATACAAGTGGTGTCTGCAAAACACTTGAACGAATGGCAATGATCGCCTTGTTTGGTTCCTGCAATCCAATGGGTTATTGGCCAACATTGAGTGCGCATTTCGACAGGGCTGCAGTACTCATGTTCATCTTGTTCGATTCAATCATTCATCATCAATAACATCGCGAAAAACGAACATGTGGTGTCAGTATTCTTTGACCTTGAAGGCTTCTGACACCACTTAGAAATAAGGTATTATAAGATCTCTTTGATATTAGATTAAAAGGCAATATGCAACATATATTTCATTAAAAAGGTTAACAAAAATACCGAATCCTCAGGTAAATTAAAAAAAAATCATAAAACCTTACAAAACCAAACGTAAGAGCAATTGCACGAAATGGAAAACAACTCGTATTCTCGACATGGTACAGGCATTTCCTGAAGAAAATGGTGGGTTCTAACAGACATTTAAATGTTAGAGTACACTCTACAATGTATGATGTATTTGATGCGGAGATGTGTGTGCTTCAAGGGAGTATTTTATCTGTTACATTCTTCAGTCTTAAAATTAACAATCTTGTTTTTAAAAAGCAACATTGAAGTTTCTTTATACGTTTATGATTTACTAATATATAACAGAGGTAAAAATATAAGTTATCTAAAACGGCAATTCTATAGAAATGAAAAATGGGCTTTCTTAAAATTTTCTACATAGAAAACCTATCGAATGCATTTCTACTAAACGCTTGCATCTTGATACATAGCTTTTCTCTAATAAACCAAATTAAAATGGTCTAAGTTTGACAGAAAGTTGACCTTTCTCCCCCATATCTAAAATGCTGAAGCAAAATGTCTAAAAGCTTTCGATATTTTTTGTGACTAGCACTGGCTGGGTTGGTGATCGCAACATTTCATTAAGTGTATATAGATCACTAGTTAAGTGTAATCAAGATTATGGTTCAATAGTTCAAAATGCTCGATGCTGTTCATAACCAATGTCTTCGTCTATGTCTTGGTGCCTTTAAAACCTCAACAGTTGTGATTTTGTTTGTAAAGGCCACCGAGCCTTTACTCTCTCACAGACATTTGAAGCTTTGTCTTCAGTATGCGGTCAAGATTACGGTATTTCCAGAAAATCATGCCTACAAGGGAGGCGAAAGATACCAAAGGGATATTCAAATTCATAAGTCGAAAACAAACTGACAATGCCATTGCAAAAAATGAAAGAAAAAAAAAAAACAAACAATACACAAAACACATCAAAGAAAACTAAAGACTGAGCAATAAGAACCCCATAAAAAACCGTTGGTGATCTCGAGTGCTTTGGAAGTGTGTTTTCAATATCCTATTAATGAAAACATTTTTGAAAAACATGAGAATAAAATTCCTACATTAGTCGTTAAAAACCACCAAAAAATGTAAATGCCCTTCATGGTAAATCCCAAAACCAAAAATGATATATTGGTCTTCGTAAATATAAAAACGCCGAAACAAACACCCTATTAGTTCAACAACATACGACTGTAATGAAATCTAATAAATCAGATTTTTCAACTGTTAATACTATTGTATCGATGGATGGAACTTTCTTTGGAGCCAAAGTTGCAACTCTCCGCTTACCTTGTGTTGCATCCATCTTTAATGCAGAAGTTAAGGCAATAATTCTGGCCTTGCAGTTTATTGCTTCCTAGCTAAGACAAATCAAAATATGTTATATGTTCTGACGCTCTTTGATGTTTACAAGATCGATAAAATATGAAAATTAGAAACCTGTTAATTCTAAAATGACCTTTGCGTTTTGAGGAATTTGAATATTCTCAATGATGAGATTATTTGTCTATGTGTGCTAAGCCATACTGTCATCCGCAGAAACACATTTGTAGATCAGGCAGCAACAAGTGTCCAGAACGACCCTATATCTCAATGTAAATTCCTATATACCAATTTTAGATATATGGAAAATATGTGGAGTAATAAATTACTTATTAAAAAAAACCAAATGTAGGATTACCTTTAAATATTGTGATATATGCAGGGAAGATCAAAGTGGTATTTCAAGATTTCGTATCGGTCATACTAGAATAACACACGAGTTTCTTTTAAAAAATGAAGTTCAACCACATGTATACCTTACAATTGCAAGTATACAATTATACATGTTTTAATTAAATGTATTGACTTTTCCGATATTCGGAGAACATTTTAATGTAAATAGTATATATGAATTATTTAATAATATTACAATCCAAATAATTGTTTCATTTTTAAAAGAAAATGGAATGTGTTCCAAAATATAAACATGCTTTATTCGTTTTAAATGGTTTTTATTTTGATCACGTTATATTATTTGTGAATTATATTTGTAAATAAGTAACTTTGCTTTTAACTAAAGTTTTAATACATTGCATATTGAAAGACCTTTTGTAAAAATATTTCAAATATATCTCGCCGCGATAAAGCCTTTTTGTTTTGTGCTGATGCAACGTAAAGCATTCATCAATCACCAAACTTCGCTTGAAAATGACCTTTGGAAAGAACAAGATCCCTATTGATGTATAGATCAGATGCCAAAAAGTCGAGGCAAAGTAGCGCATAAATAGATTCACGTTTAGGGAAAGTTTTTTTCCGGGTAATGTCTATTTAGTCAAAATTCAGGACTTGATCATTCTGTGGTGAATGAAGCTCCTTGTGGTCTAAACGCCAAATTCACTTTTATGTAAAAGGTCAAGGTAAAAGCAGCAATTAGTACAAGACCTGTTTTTTTCAATTCTTTTATAATAAAATTTGAACCAATCCGATTAAATGTCCCTTGGTATTTCCCCTATTGACTTAAATGGAATTAAATTGATTTATGGCAAAATTTCAATGTTCGGATGATATTTTGAACCATATACCAAACTGTCATTGAACTTAGCTTGAACACGCCCATTTGAAACAACAAGATCCACTCCTATTGATTTTGGGGTCAGTAGTACAATTGTCTACATTTCAATTAACTGAAATTTGTGGAAAAGTTTCGTTTCCGTATAATATCTTGTGAACCATAAACAATTATTTACCTAAATTTGTTAAATATGCACAGTCTGGTCAAGAAGACCCCTATTAATGTTTAGGTCACAGTGTCAAAAGTCTAGGTAACAAAAACAATGTATAGACTGCAAATTTAGATTTGTTTCGTTTTCAGATAAATCTTTTGAACGGTACTTCTAATCACGCGTTAAAAAACTGTTTCTTAAAGTAATAACAATAAGGGTATGAATTTTACTGCAACTAATGCACTTTTCGACAAGTAATGCTCGAAGTAAAACACTATAAAGATTAAAACGCGGCTTTTGTCTCCATTATGCTTCTTTATTTTTCTTTCTTTTTGCTGTTTATTCGTGTTATTTTTCTTATCTTTTTATCCCCCCCTCCCTTTGCAACGTTCTCTCTTTTTTTTTGTCCCCTATTCGTCGCACCACGGAAAATATGGTCATGGTCTCTGTCCGTCCGAAATACATCACTACGTAGAGACCGCTTTGCATTAAGCTTAACTATTATTTAGGATTATTTGTCGTTGTAATCTCTTGAACGTGTTATAACATCATTTTGTTTTTACAATATTTTCGGGAGTTTTGGGACTTTTATCATTTGTTTTCGTATTGTATCAATGACACCTTGTGAAAACATTTCATATGAGTCCGTCTAAAAAAAGCTCTAATACTCGGTAGGATTGTTGACCATCATGTGGAGTTGACCATATTGTACCGTCGTTTTGATCTGACCATTTTTACATAATTTATGGGACTTCGACGAGTATTTTTGGAGTATTTTAATAGTGTCAAAGTGTGAACCCAACTCTAAAACTATTCAATTGAATACTCTCATACTTGGGAGGATTGTTTGCAATCATGTGCAGTTGACCATAATATACCAGATTTAATCTACTATTTTCTACATAAGGAATTGCCTGCACCAGGAAATGAATATGACAGTTGTTTTTCATTCGTTTGATTTGTTTGAGCTTTTTTTTTTGCCATTTGATAAGGGACTTTCTGTTTTGAATTTTCTTTGAGTTCGGTATTTTTGTTATTTTACTTTATACCGTCATTTTGATTTGGCCATTTTTATGGGAGATATGGGACTTTAAACCCATATTTTGACTATCGTGCCATAATGAAACATAGTGACAAACAATTTAATTCCTCATTAATACAGCGCGAGGAACCTTTTTGTCACGGCGTAGCAATCTTGTTTAAGCAGTAGTAATAAGTGGTTTGTTTTATTGTTTAAATAAATTACCCATCCACTGAGAAAAACTTAAAGGTTGACATTTGATTCAGGTCGTTGAAAGAACTAGAACGAAGACGTTCCTTGGTGAACCAATCAGAACTTGTTGAACCTCGACCATCAAAATATATCTCTACATCGAGAGTTCCTTTTCTGAATAGTTCAACTTTCACCTGGAATGAAAATGTTACCGTTAATTCAGGAACAGAACAGAGATTTCTGCGTACATTACGAATGTTGAACAATGGACAAAAATGTGAGATAAATTATAACAATTTCAGGAAATAATGCATACAAGAAATGCTTTTTATAAAATCTTCAAAGATACCAGGCTTATATTTGTGTATGCCAGACGCTTGTTTCGTCTATATCAGACTCAACCGTGGCTTTCGATTCGACACAGTTGGAAGGCCACATCAAATACGAAATTGAAGAGCATTAAAAACCAAACATTCTGAAGAAAAGTTGTACCAAAATACGGTTAAGACAATCTTTATTATTTCGAATAATTCAACACTTTATAAGCAGTGAATTTACAGAGAATGAACATATCAATGACATTGCACGTCAACACAAAAGGGCTGCCAAATAGGCCGATGATATCCTCGGGGACGCAACGTTCACCAGCAGTAACATTATTCCAGTGGTTGTAAAAACTCATAAAAAATACCATGCTTATAACTAGGAAAGCCAGATGCGCGTTTCGTCTACATACTAGTAAGACTTATCAGTGGCGCTTGAATTTAAATTTAAAAGACCTTTCTCGTTGTAATTTTTGCATTGATAAAGATGTCCCCAAAATTTCGAAATTAACATATTAATATTACATAATATAAATGCGAGAGTCGTTTTACTTTTACTGTGGTCCATTCTAAATTAAAAATAGCAAAAACATAAAGAATTAATTGATCTGTAAATAGCAAACTGTAATTTCCGAAATATAAAGTAAAAGGGTAAATAGTAAAACACTTAACAAATCGATTTCAATGTGTTTAATGGTAAGGGGTTGGTCGGATCATTATATGGTTCCACCAAAAGTATATGCCTGATATTGTCGGATTTTTTTGTACCAAAAACCGCTTGGGTGGTCTCGTGTTTCAAATCTCGTTTGCGAAAAGTCACGGGTTCCATCCCGACAGTGCTTTTAAAATTGGTATTTGTTGCCTTGTCGCTAAGCAGGTGGTAATAAGGAGTATGAACAAAGAGTTTTCGGTATTTAATATGAATAACTTATCACGACGGAGAGAGATGGCTGTTTCCGGACTGTGCCTTATGATTGATTGTTGTTTGCTTTACGTTCAGTGGCAAAAATTTCATGCATGTTCAGAAGAAGAATAAATTACCAATAAAAACAATAGGTAGGTTTTGCAAATGGAAATTAACAAAATGATAGGCGGGAAATTTTGAATGCCACTAGACAATGCTAGAGGGACAGGCCTTAAGCCTTGCACCAGGCCACCTACTGACTCCTCAAAAAGTTTTCAAGGGTTCTAAACGTGCAGACAGAGTGGGACACTCTCTACACGAGCTATCAGATTAACGTCGTCATTCTGGCCGGACGAAGTTGCGAATTTATACAGTCAGCAAACCCAAATGGACGACACAATTTTGCAAAGTTTAAACTGTCTGTCGAAAGAAGACCAAGGGATGATAATATTTCTATACCCAGGAAACCCTTGGGATTAAAATAGCATATAAAAATCAGCATTCTGACGGTATTGCATTTGTCCCCTACCGGCTATCATGTTTACATTGGATGCACATTGGGATAAAATTACATATAAAAGGCTATTAGTACCACTACAAACCAGTAAAAGTCTGAAATGGCCTATATCTGTACTCGACTGTACTGATTTTTACTCGACCAGTCTGAATTGGTCTGAAACTTTACTTGATAATAATCGACTGTAGTCTGAACCATACTTAACAGTCTGAACTTGTACTCGACCAGTACTTAACCATTTTAGACGAGTCTGAACCATGCTCGACCTAGTCTGAACCATACTCGACCTAGTCTGAACCATACTCGACCAAGTCTTAACCATACTCGACCAAGTCTTAACCAACCTAGACCTATTCTTTGTATCTATATATCAACTGAATTTTATCAATTTAGGAAATGTTTTTAAAAAAAATGAAATTTGACCAACAACTTGAAATTAAAAATGTATTCAATATAGTATTGAAATTAAAATTTCACAATAATCAATCATAATATAACTTCAACACAATATTCATCAACACTTACATAATTATATATATCAACTTTAAAATATAAATAAAACAAGCTGATCAAATAATCTCAAAAATGAATTGTGACTAATATTTTCAATGTTATTCAAAAATTTTTGAATGTTTCAGAAGTATTTTATGGTAACTGGACTATTTTCACCATTAACTTAAGCCTAGTATAGATTTATGGTGTCAGTTGAGTTTAGTTAATAAAGCAGTGAATATTTTTTTTATTGATATATATATAAAATATAAAGCAACTTAATAAATTTAAAAAAATGAGACCTTTGTTTTGTTTTGTTAAACCAAGAATTTAATATAATCATGATAATAGAATTTCAATAGCAATCCTTGATAACCTTTTTAAAAAAGGAAATGTGTTCCAAAGTAACAATAAAAATGTATTTCAATTAAATTTAAGTATTTTTTGTCAAATTAAAGACATGGCATACAAAAAGCACTTAAATATGGTTTAATTACCTCAGTACATGTGTGTTTTACAGGTAAAAAGAAAGCCCTATTTTCTTAAACTCGTGTATTACTTATCTAGTATATTCGAAAGGCCTTGTTATTTAAATTAAACAGGATGTTGCAATTTTGAATAAATGTTATTTAGAATTTAATACCTCTGACCAGGTGTGATCTTATTAATGAGTTTGTCCCCAAGCAGAGGTATTACTTTATACTTCACCACTAATCAGAAGAACAATTTTATTAATTTCTTTAATTTTATCCCTTTTTGATATAAATTATATATAATATAAAAAATATAACCCAAATTATAATAATAGATTTATTTCTAATATAAGGTTAAACAATTCATTGGCTGTTGTTATATATGTCAGTTAAAAAGAAATTTATTTTAACAGTTAAAAAAAGTAGAGGTTATTTGGTACAGTATGGTTCAGACTGGTCGAGTATTGTTCAGACCTTTGGTTAAGTATGGTTTAGACTTGAAAAATAGGTCGAGTACAGGACAAGAATGGGTTAAGACTGTTTCAGACTGGTCGAGTAATAGTTCAGACTTTTTTCAATGGCAAAGATAAGGGTCAAGTACGATTCAGTACAGTCGAGTATGGTTCAGACTGGGGTCGAGTAATGTCAAGTAAAAGTCAGACCAATTCAGACTGGTCTAATAAAAATCAGTACAGTCGAGTACAGATATAGGCCATTTTAGACTTTTACTGGTTTGTAGTGTACTGCGATTGACCTCGAAAAAGACGCTGAATAAACTAATTAAATGAACCGGAATAACACATAGCTAGAAATTGTATGAATGATAAAATATTAGCTATATTTTCATTTTCATCTGGTCCTTAAAAGAACCTAATGTAACATTTTTGTATTGTAGCCCGGTTATGGAATACCCCTCACATCATGGTTTAAACTAGTCACTTTAAAATTAAAAAAAATATATAATATAAGACTCTTTTCGTAAATAATTTCATGTTAAAGATAATCGCAAGTGCATATTTGTGTTTCAGTCAACATGCGTTAAGAAGTATTTATCAAAATGAACACCTGTGCATTTGAATTTCGAATTACAAGTCTACATATCACAAATATACTATGTAGCAAGTACGGAAAATTAAAATTTGAATTTTGAAAGGCATAGTTGCATAGTTCGAGTTGCAATTCTCAGACGTTCAAATGTCGAGCTGCACTGCTACAAATTAAGAATTGCAAAGTTGGAATTTGAAAATTATAGAGTTACTTACATACAATTAAAGAATTGTAAAGTTGGAATTATGAAACCTTTGGTTTACGATAGAGATTGACGTCTAGCTACGATTTTTTTAATATCATTTCCCAATGTATCTTTTCAAACCATTTCTTACTGTCTATTTAATACGACTATAGTCTTAGATACATGTTTTTTTTTGTTATTAGCTTTGAACTAGATGTCAGTAACTGCGAGTACTCTCAAATCTGTACTTTGTGTCTTTTTTGTTGTCAGGGATGAGGGATGGATAAATACCCTGCCACGTCCGGTGTGTATTTTTGTTTGATGTTTTTCTGCTTTGTATTGATCTGACGAGTTAAGCCTTTTTCAAATGATTTTTATAGTTTGTTCCTATGTTGTGCTGTTACACCACTGTCTCAGGTTAGGGGAGGTTAGAGCGCTCACAAACACGTTTAACCCCGCCACATTCTTTATATGCCTGTCCCAAGCCAGGAGGCTGTAGTTCATTGTTTGTCGTTGTTTCATGTCCGTCATATTTGTTTTTCGTAAATTGTTTTGTTATAAATTAGGCCGCTAGTTTTTTCAATTGAAATGTTTCATATTTTTCATGTCGGAGCCTTTTATAGCCTACTATACGGTATTGGTTTTGCTCATTGTTGAAGGTCGTACAAGTGCCTTTAATTGCTCACATCCACTTCATTTGAACTGTGGTGGATAGTTGTATCACTGAAAATCATACCACATCTCCTTATATTATATAGCTTATGTGTGTAGCTCTCCGAAAACAAGTAATATGATGACATTGGCCATTTTTGAATGGCAGCTCTTCATATAAATAGTCAAACTTGTCGTTTTGACATCCTTCGGAAAATATGAATAATTAAACCGTTTCTGTAGCATTTTACTGAATATATCTCACAAAAGTCAATCGGTTTTTCTCATGTTTGAAATTATGATATATTCAAGGTTGACTTTTAATCTTAATTTCACAAAAATTGACCATTTTGGGTTTTTACGACCTAACCTTTTCTTATTGAACACATTTACCTCTTTCCAACGAAAAGGTGTGTTCTTACGATACATTGAAGTCCAAAAAAGTAAACTCTGGTTGCAGTATTATATATACCATATATATAAAACAATAGGAAGAAGCATATTAGAAGAAAGTGCGGAAAACTTACCGGACGGATATATTGACAGACTGAATGACGTATGTAGTGAACACCTATAGTCGTCAAGGACTGGTGCAAAGCAGTGTTCAAATATAATTAACATATTCTCATCCTGTAAATGGTTGTAACATTTGTGGCTGGACATTAAACATCTATTATTTTACTGATATTGACGAAATTCAATCCTGAAGTGTTGACTTGGGTAAAGGAACAAGGACATATAGACTTCTCTCAAACGAGAATAAAATCTGTTATTAGAATGCCTCCGTTTTGCTGTGAAGGATATTTTACTATATCGTGGTGGTCAAGTGTAGGAAGCCAGAGAGAACCATACCATCGTGTACCCGCAGAGAACCATAGACCATCTGCAGGAAAACTGACGATCAAAAGCGCTTCATCGTCACGTTCAGGGGAAGCGCTTTTGAGCATCATACATAATGTACTTCGGTCAACTCTTTTACACCCAAGTAAAATCATAAAAATAAGGATTCTATTCTTAAATTGATGTACATATGATAAGCAATCGGTATAAATAGTCGACGTTATCT